ACAACAACTGTTTGTTTGTAGTGACCTCTGCTGGCAACCGAGTGCATGTGACGCAAGTGTAAAACATGTTTATTATTCAGTTTTCCCCAAGGCCTCAGTTCTAACCCCCCCCCCCCCCCCCCCCCACACCCCCTGTTTTATACTTTAAGCTACATTCCTGCCTCGTGGGTTTTTATTGTTTATTACTGGACTTTGAGACTGTAATAACTGACACCAACACCCACTCACACTGGGATTTATTTCTGTTCGTCCCTTCATTTATTTTCTCACATTCTTCTGGATCCACTTCATATCATCGATCAACATCGGCCGTTCACGTCGTCGACCTCTGGTCAAAAACTATTAGTCTGGGAATTTTATCACTAATAATGTCTGGCTTCAACCAGAAAAAAAAAAAGAAAAAAGATCTGGTCTAATGTCAGGTTTCGTCCAACAATCTGTGGCCCACAGGTGTCGGACCAATCAGGTCAAAGACAGGGTTTGAAAAACTAGGCTAGGACTTATCTGGTCCAACATGTTTGACTGACGACTGGCCCACATTCTTCAACCCATTCTTGGAAAAAAAAACCCCACAAAATGGGTTTTTTTCCAAACGTGTAATGTGGTCCAACATGAGGCCCACACAGTGGGCTTGAACATATGTAATTACAGAGCTAACCACGCTTCGACAGGACCGTTTCTGGACCTCTCCTGGCCCACACATGTTTCCCTGACCCACGTGTGGTACAGCATAATCTGTTTACCAGAAATAAATCTGGCCAAAAAAATCTACTCTACTCACAGGACCCACAAGAATGTGGCCCAATTAGTGGGTATGAGACATGGACCACATTATCTCATCTTGGCATCACCCTGGTACTGTGGCCCAAACCGTGGTTAGCAGAGCGTACGTTGGAGACAAGTCAGAACCCTACACGTCCTTGACGTCCTTGTGTGTCAAACTCGAGGCCCGCGGGCCAAATGTGGCCCGCCAAGACATTTTGTGAGGCCCACGTGAGTTTCTCAACTTAATAAATTATTTTTTTGTAACTAATAAATAACAGTATTAAAACGATTTTTTAGTAACTAATAAATAACAGTATTAAAACGTCGGCGTCGTTACAGCTCTACAGTCTTACAGTTACAACAGACCTTTTCAAGTGGATCTGTGTTGCTGACGTGCCCCCCCGCCCCCCACCCCCCAGGGGGTGATAATGAGTCTGAGACCCAGACTAGTCGAATATTCCCTGGACGTGTTTTCACTCGTCTCACCTCAGAGTCTCTCAGAGGCGGGAGGTAAAAGTGTTCAGTTTCATTCTCCGACTCCTTTCCCTCCCTCGTTGTAGTCAGTTTTTACACAGGAGCTGCTGCGGCTGCGGCTGCGGCTCCTGCAGACCGAGCTGCTGGTCTGACCTGTTTCTCACACACACACACACCCACTCACCCAACCAGCCACACACAAACACACACACAGAGAGTTTAGGTAAAGGTATTTAGACAAGTCCTCGTAGCCAGAGGTTTCATTTTGGTCTTTGGAGAGGAGGACGTCACAGGACGGAGCCACGGAAAAAACAACATGAACTTCATGATCTGAAGTCAAGTCACAGAAGTCACAGGAAGAACACAGACGGCGTCTGTTGACTGAAACGCTCCGTGCTCAGGTGAGTGCTGCTTCCTTTGTTCCTTTGTTCTTAGTTCAACTTCACACACAAACACACACTTCGTCTGGTCACAGTCCAGGAGTCGTCTGCGTCTTACTCAACTCCCTCCTCAGAAATGTTACATTAGGAGACTCTTATCGATCAGTGAATGTATTGATCCTCCAGCTCCACCTCTGGTCATTTCCTGTTTGACAAAAACTTCAAAAAGACGACTTTATGACATTTTAGAGCGCGGTTCGACTCTTAGAGAAGGAGCAGCAACGACCAAAAATAACCTGCCTGGTCACGTTGACCAGATAGTCTCAGACTGATAAGGTCCACACACCAGGGGCCTCAGCCTCGGGCTGCTGGTGTGACCATGGGCCGACCGCTGCCACAAGGTGTGTTTGATTTACCTAATAAGGTAAAAAAAAAATACTGTGAAGTTATTTA